GTTGCCCGTAGGCTGTGGACAGGCTCCTTCTCTTGCTTGCTTATTTGTTCAGCAAGTTGTGTTATATACTGAGCAATCAGAGTCGAATTAAAAAACCTTACAGTCCAGTGAGGGAGACAGAACACAAACAGGTAGACATATAAATATATGACTATAAATTGTGGCAAGTACCCACCCAATGCCGCTAAGGGTGGCCTTGGGAACATATGTGCACAGTCAACTTTCTGGAGCCAGAACCGGCCAGCAGCTGCAGCTCACCACCGTGTGGGTGACCCTGCTTCCCTTCTGAGTGCTCCCATCTGTGGTCCAGACAGCACCCAGAGTAACCGTTTTAAAGCACACAGATCTGACCATGCCCCACCCCTCCTCAGCGACTTCCCACTGTGTTTGCCTTGATCACGACTAGGGCAGAGTCTTCTAGAAGGGAGAGCCCAGACCGGGTCCTGGGTCCTAGTCAAGAATTTTGTACCGAAACGTAAACTCACAACAAAATCTCAGTCCTGAGCCTTAGACTGAGTGACCTCGGCAGCGCGGAAATGAGATACTGGCTCCTCGGATGTGATAAGGGACGTTTCAAGCCCGGACGGTGCACAAGTCAGTGTAGTGATGGTGAAGTCAGTCAGACTTATGGTGTTAACACTTTTGTACACAATTAAGAGTAATCTCTGCAGTTCTGGCAGCCATCGTGTGAGGCCACCCATTTTATAAGAGGAAACTGGAACTCATGAAACGATTTGCCCGAGGTCAGACTGTTGGTGATGGAGAAAGGATGCCAATTGGGTTTTCAGACCTTCTGTTTGACGTTCTTTATACCGTACCATGCTTGATGTGGGGAGGGGTTTTTCCTGCTCCCTGGCTTTGCTGTGTAGACTGGATCTGCCAAACGCATTTGATTTTTCAGGAGGCTGTGTTTTTGGTTTGGTCGAGCAGCCTTCTTGTAAGACACCAAGCTTGCGACTGTAGATTAAGTCTGCGTACCCTTGGGGATCGGTGCTTCCAACACGGTTTTACAGGCGGTGCTGGTGAAATAAGCTGTTTAACTTTTTGCAGCCTTCAGAAGACTCTCCAAAGCCCCAGGGACAGCAGCTGGCAGTTGAACCATCATCAACATTCTTTCATCTGAAATGTACCTTGTCACAGACGCTGGGAAGTAGGCTGCAGCTGTAATTGCCTAAATTCTTTTCATAATGAGAACATTTTATTACTCCGCCAAAGGGTGTGTGCCAAGAAAGCCTGTGCCTAAAAATGACTAAGTAAACCAAATAACTTCGACACAGAATAACTTCCAAAATGAAGATGGCCGGGGTTCAATACACAGGCTCAAACAAACCAATCCTTAAAACTCAAAACATGACTCAATCTTTGCTTTGTTCATACCCTAAGCTGATATAAATCCAGTGTGGATTAGGGAATTAAAATTTAAACATGAGATATAAAACAAATGGAACATGCAAATGACTACACGAAAATATACACAAATACGGGATGAACTTTGAATAAGAAGACTTCCTGAGTATAAATGAAGAAACCATACAGATTAGATTTGTTTAGATTTTACAAATCTGTTTTTTTTTTTTTAGATTTGTATGGAAAGTTTTACAAAATAGATTTGTAGAGAAAATTTTAAATTCCGTCTATCGCAACATGTAATAAACAAAATTAAGAGGCAAATAAGTCAAAATATTATACTTAATATAAAAAATAGGCAAAAGATAAAGTTTACAAAGAAAAAACTATCACTGGCCAATAAATACATGTGGAATCATTCAAACTTATGAAAAGTCAATGCAGTACGTATTACATCCATAGATATGTTTTTACCTGCTCAGATTGGCAAGGGGACATTTTCGGTTTTATATGACACTAGCATAAGTGAAAATTTTCTGGGAATAAAACATTAAGAGCAATAAATATTCTTATTTCCTTGAGGTCGACCAGAAACGTGCTGGAATGGTATGAAAAACACTAACTTTAAGAATTTTATGTATTTAATTTTACTGTAGGGCATACCATATTTTTGCATAGAAAGATTCAGTTTTGTAAATATAATAACTTCCCCCAAATTAATTTTTAAGTTGAATGCAATCCTAATTAAAAACTCTAGTAGGATTTTATTTGGGGAGGTTGATGGGAAGTGACCAAGTGATTTTAATTTTTCTTTATGTTCTGAGTAAAGCATTTTCTTGGGGTGCAGAAAATTTTTTTTGTGACATAATAAATAGGAAAACCAAGAAGATTTTAAATAGGAACAACTAGTAGGAAACACGTATGCAATGGGATATTAATATGTAGTATTAGAAATGAAACTAAAGTGAACAGAAACTAAAGACGAGGGTGGTATGAAAAAAGACAGCCATAGAATTCGAATAGAATGGAGTGACCACACGTATAAACCCTGGTAAATGTGGGAATTTAGCGTGTGTGAAAGTGTAGAAAAATATGATTGTTCAAAAGATGGCATTGGGACAATTGAGAAACTTTGGGAAGAAGTAACAATAGATTTTTACCTAATAGCATATAACAAAACAAATTCCAAATGGAATTAGTTAAATGGGGGAAATGACAGCGTGAAAAAGTAGAAAATAAAGACGAATACCTACATGATTTTGTGGTGAGAAAGGCCTTTTTAAGTAAACAAAAACTATAAAGGGAAAGATTGCTAGAACCGATTTACCCAATTATTTAAAATGACAACAAACTGAAGTAACAGGCAAACAACTCTTTACTAAAAAAACGCACACGAAGTTAAAATCCATAGAAGAGAAAAAGTCTAGAGAACATCTCCGTGACCACACTCAGGGGTGATAATTCACTAGAATGACTACAAAACTCAGGAAAGCACCACGGATATGATTATAGTTTCATTACAGTGAAAAGAAAGAGGGTCCCGTCAGCAGAGGGGAGGGACACACAGGGTAGAGTCTGGGAGAGAAAAATGCCGGCTTCTGGTTGTCCTCTCCCCACGGAGTCAAGGATGGCATCAACCCCCTGGTCGCCATGAGTGACGGTATGTTCAGGGTACTGCCTGCCAGGGAAGCTGGCCTGAGCCTCTGGTGCCTGGGACCCACCCCTGAATATTTGAGCATGCTCCAGTGGACTCTTAATTGCCGTATTTGCACCTCCGTGCCCGAGAACTTTTTTTAAAGAACTTTTTTTTTTATTAAAAAAAATACAGAAAAATACCATTTTCCTGTCTCCTTTCTTCAAACAGCCTTCACTTAATGACTCTTGAGGTTGGTATGCAATTACCCTGCCCCATCAGGTTGGATAATTCTGAGGCATTTCACACCATTTGCAGAATTATTCTGCAAGATTAAGCTCCAGTTGTCCCTGGAAAAGCTGGGACTCTTTCTGCGTGGAGGCAGATTTGAAAATGGGAAGACGGATAACGGGGAGAGAATCTCTCCCCAGCCTCCTGCAGCCTGTGATCCAGGTCACAGAGACTCACGAGAGGGAACGGGGGCAGCCTAGGCTCCCGCCCTCTGCTGGCCACCGGGAGGGCTTGCAGGAGGAGGGGGAGTTGTCACTGGGTGAGCTTATTTCTTGGTTCTCCTTGATCTCCTCCAGCTTCTCTTGTGACCAAAGACGTCTCATGAACACAGGGCTGGTGCTAAGGCTCAGAGTGGAAACCTCCGGTTAGAATCTGTATTTGATGAAGGCAGCAAAGAGAGATCAGCGGGGGGCGAGGTGGGAAGCTATGAGGCTTGATAAGCAATACCTGACAGC